GTTGAAGGTGAGTTGTGTTCGGGTTGAACTTTTTGACTCGTATAATACATGTGTTTGGTTTGGGCCAAGCTATTTTGTTTGGAGTCAATTTTTTGGTCCAATGTGAACATGACTCGCAAACCCAACTTCATACCTCTAATGCATCCTTCGTTACTCTAAAAAGACAATCTAGTATACAAGTAAACAATAATTTTGTGCTTTTTATGAGACTTAAATTTATTATTTTTTTAATTTTAATTTATAATATAGTTGTAAGTAAGGCATAATCCAAATAACATAAAATGGCAAAAAGAAAATAACACAAAAATATGCCAACAAAAAATTAAAACTATCACTAAACAAAACCAAACAACCAACTCACTTTTTTTAACACCTCAAAATGGGGAGGACCCAAATAAAGAATGAACAACACGCATGCTTGGTCGGCTGTCGTTGATGATACTCTTAATTAGTGAAGTTGATATTCTCAAATCCAAATGAATTGGCTATGAAATTGATACACAACTAGATTAGTTATTTCATGCAAATTAAATAAGAAATGTTATTTCATTTATAGAATGAAATCAAGCTATGTCTATCATCTAATAAATGAAGTAAGAGCAACATAACACATCGATCATAATGGCAATCATCCTTCTAACAACAACACATAATTTCAGAGAAATATTAATTAAGCATGCATTCATTACATTGAATCCTCATTACAATTACAAAAACAAATGCTTTTAAATATTTCTCTAATTTTACAGTACTTCAAATTACTATTAATTATCTATTAAATATTTTCTAGGAAATTGCATGCCATTAACCAATGATTCATGAAATCCATTACAGTGAATATTTTCTTAATCACTTTACTTTCACACCTTATATATATTAAGGATATATAATCTAATCTTTTAATACAATTAAAAGAAAAAAAAAACCATCTTATTTCCATTCAGTGGAAGGTGCAGTAATGGTGGAGGATTTATAGGTTTTTGAAATTACATGTCCAAATGACCGAAAGCTGAAGGCGGTTCTTGCCACGGGAAATATATTACATCAGGACTTCTAGCGTAGAGCTACGTTCGGAGTCCAATGAAAAGACCCCACGTGGAGGTGACAGGAAAAAAAAAATTTATTTTAGCGCAGGGGAATATTCCCCCGTGTTCTTCTGCATTAGTCAGGTGTTATTGTGGTGATATTCATGTGTTATTGTGTTATTCATGTGTTATTGTGGTGGTATTCATGTGTTATTGTGTTCTGAGAATATCTCCGGTGTTGTGATAACACAATAATATATCAATATCACCACAATAACACCTGAATAACGTGGAATAACATATGATGAATATTCTCCCATATTATCGAGTCAGATCATAGGAAAGAGCGCGCGTTTTCTTGAAGTCACGTGTCTATATATATATATATATATATAATCTTGCTGCTGTACTAATTTCTCATTAGACTCTTAGCTGCCAAAGAGATTTCTAATAAATAATCACTCATTGGCCTATCGCAAATATTGAGTTTTATGGCCAATTTTTGGTCTTAGATTTGTTGATTTCTTCCTTTTTATTGGTGTTTTTTGGGAGGCAAATTTTTTATCAAATTATGTAAAGAGCAGATTATTGAAAAAATGTAAAGCTTCATTTCATCTCATGATGATCTTCATGTTAATTAATTCTCTATGTTTCTGACAATTGTAATAATGTTATGCAAAGAAGAGCAAACACCTCTTTAATCTATTGGGCTCTGGATCTCCTAATTCTTCTTCGTGTGATGGGTATAATTTTTAAGCATTTTATCAAGAGATAGAACCCCATACCATTGAGTTATATTTATTTTACAATCATTTTAGGAGTTTATTGCAATTATTTCTTCACTAATTTAATCGGGACATGAATCATAGGGCTCTCAAATATTGATTTAGCATGTCCCAACTCAAAAAATCAATCTTCAGGTTATGTAGAGGTTAAAAATTTTAACCTGTTTAATATTTCAAGTTGGGTTTGTGTTGACGTGCCAACTCAAAATTGACTTGAAATAGAGCCGCGAACCCGATTTTGACCCGAATAATTGTTATTCCTTATATTAAACGAGATATGGGTTTGGATTGGCGGGGTAAAGGTGAGTTGTGTTCGGGTTGAACTTTTTGACTAGTATAATACATGAGTTTGGTTTGGGTCAAGCTATTTTGGCTGGAGTCAATTTTTTAGTTTAATGGCTAATTTTTGGCTAGTATAATACATGCATCATTGGCCTATCACAATTATGAGTTTTATGGCTAATTTTTTGTCTTGGATTTGTTGATTTCTTCCTTTTTATGTTTTTTTTTTAGGCAAATTTTTTATCAAATTATGTAAAGAGCAGATTATTGAAAAAATGTAAAGCTTCATTTCATCTCATGATGATCTTCATGTTAATTAATTCTCTATGTTTCTGACAATTGTAATAATCCTGTGCAAAGAAGAGTAAAC